AGGAATGTGATGTGTGTGAGACCACTGTCAAAAGACTCAGTGAGACTTTAGAAAACTTTTATTAAACCTCTTCTATTACATTTACCTTTTTTTTTTATAAAGGAACTTTAAGCGTTAGTAAATATTCAAATTCTTTAGCAGATCTCCTTCACATTTAGCTTTTTATCCTCTGTAAAAATGCCAGAGTAGATGAATGTGAATGGGGACATTTTTTAAACTCGCTGTCTCTCTGGTGCTGATTGGAACCATGTTCTACAGACTTGGATGACTGCTCTGTGTTCAGTTTGCTTCTCTCTTTGTCTCCCTCTGGATGTTTGTGTCATTTCCAGAGGGTGCTGTAAAAAGTCGGAGGGTTGAGGGAGTGGCGCACAATAACCATGAACCTCATTTTGACTTATGGCATGTAAATTGTTTAACTGGGGATTTAATTGTTACTTTATATAAGGGGGGCCGGAGAAGTCGGTGACTAGAGTTATTGTTTTCTCGCACAGATGTCACCCAATCAAGATATATATGTTTTGTTTTGTTTTTGCTTTTTCCTATCAAGTATTTTTTAGCTGTTTATACAATCCTGTTTTGTTTATTTTTATACGTCTGCCTGCTATTGTATGCTATTGTATCTCATGGTCTCTCCCAGCACAGTGGTTGGTAATCAGTGCTTAAGCTACAAATACAAATCTCTCTTTTTTATTTGATTTGTCTATAAGTGACGTAACTTTAGAGGCAGATCACATCTGACCAGTAAACTGATCTTCAGAGACAATACTTTTAAAGTCATTTTGCAAACATTTCTCATCCATCCACTGGCTCTAAAGGTAGACGGCCAACAGTGACCTTCTGTCACCTATGGCCGTTTCCCTCACAGCAGCTAAACACTGAATCAAACATGTGAAGTAACCCAGAGTCTGGTGAACAACTTCTGGCTCCGGGTCCTGTTTCAGTATGGCCGACATCTGCTGCAGCAGAGAAGGATGACTTACTGTAGTACAGTTAAATCAATCCAGACTGAGAGCAGAAAACAGAAATAAAGAGGAGAAAAAAAAAGAGTTGGTGAAGCAGGGAAGAGGAAGAGGAGGAGGAGGAGGGCTTTTCATCTGCACTGCGTTGGTAAATACTCCCATGTGCAATGAGAGATCCCATTGTGGAGGAGGTCTTTGAAATACAAAGGCCTGTAGGGCAAAGGCGAAATTACACTTGAAAAAAAAAAAAAGCCCCGGCAACAACTGAAGGAAAAGGAAAAACATGATGAGGCCAAAGGAGCTGTTGGACTCTGTTCTCCAGCTTGTCATCTCTCTCTGTCGTTTAGTAAATTTGTTACATGTCTGTTCTGAATTTCCATTTTTGTTGACAGTTTGAAAGTATCAGACGCAGCAGAGGTGTTTCATTTTGGCCTGATCTATGTGGTGGTCGTTGGGCCGTGACATCTAAGGCTGTATCTGTATGTGCGCTTTTTCTTCCCTGTTTCTACCCTGAAACAAATGTTGGCTGATGGAGGAGCTTGTTAGAATTGTAAAAGGTCAAGGTCAAGGTCAACATGACTCCACATTCTGTCTGATGATGTTTTCTGGGTAGAATTCCTTGTGGTTTTTAATGAGGAAATTATATTATCAATCAATACAGTATGTACAAGTTGAAGCTCTGTGACTTAAAAAATATTTTAAAGAAACATAATGTTACTTTCTTGTAAAAGCCAACGTTAAAATGTGTTTGTTCAACTCGATAAGGAAAGATTTCATGTATTTTTAATATAAAATAACAATTATACAACTTGAAGTGTTTAATTATTTGGAGTTGAAGCGGAGACACTAGTTTTGTTTTTAAGGCAACAGGTGAACTTTAGTCTCAGAGTGAAACCAACTTCAAATGTCTTACAGTGCGGTAGCTCAACGTAAATCATCGGACTAAAAGACCCAGATGTTACAGTGATATTTATGAAGATTTGAGCAGCTACTTCCTGTAGGAGAGCCGTACGTGCTCCAGTGAGTGTGAGGTGATTGACGATGAGGAGAAACTGATTTAATGTGATAAAAAGCTGTTACTCCTGCACACAGGGATAATATTGTAGCTCGTCCAGTGACAGCATCATGTTTGCTGTGATAAACTGTTTACCTTGGGTGATTTTCAGGAGTGCTGAGGTTTTTTTTTTTTGCTGCAGTGGGTGAGTGCACGAGGCAGCAAATTGCTCCAATTTAGCAAAGAAAAATAACATTGTGAAGACAATGAAAAAGCAGATGACAGAGGCTATTCACGATCCGGCTCAACCTTTCCTCCTCCCAAACTGTCATAAAAGGGGCTTTTGCTGCTGCGCTGCCGTGCCACAGTTAGCATTCTTGTGGTTTTCGTGGCCTACAGACTTCTCTGAAAAGCCCCCGTTTGTCGTCTGTGGTGCCAGCTGCTTGGTGAACACACAGGCCGACTCGTCACCGCCCCGGTCCGTATGAAGCAGGCAGAGGAAGCAAAGGTCTTCATGCAGACTATAACTGCACAGATTTATGCTAAGGCTACGACGGTAGCCATAAATATACAGCATGAATTCCTCTGGTGGCCAGTGGGCAATGAGGACTAACGAGAAAGAAAAGAAAAACTGTGAGGAGGCCTCGTAAGAAAACCCCGCTCCTCCCACAGAGTTCCCACATAAAAAAAACCTTCTGTTTTTGTGGGAAAATGGCACTGATGTGTAATTTTATTTGTTTTGATTGAATTGTTTTCACCAACATGACTTGATAAATTACATGTGCTCTTGATTTGTCCAGTTATGAACAAAGCATAACTTGAGAAGCAGATGTAACTTCTCATTAGATCAGAATTTCCATACACACTGGACGATATATTTGTGGCAATTACACAAGTGTGGTTTTGCTAGGTGAATAAAAAAGTGTTTGTTATTGTAGTGTTTTGACCCTCAGAGGCTTTATGTCCAGGATTTGATGGATAGAGACAGAATGTTTGAACAGTTGGAAACATCTGTTTTTCTGGCTGACATTGTTCACTGGCTTCACTTTGTTACTATGCAGCGGCACATGTTAATGACATTTGTTCAGTATTATAATGTTAGCAGGTCAAAATTACACCGCGACGCAACTTGTGAAACAGAATCAACAGTTCTGTGGAGGCGCTGCCACAGCTTCACGTATAGAGACGGAGCTTTATTTCTGTCCAAGTGGTTTCCCCCCTGGGTGTGACAGGCAGCTGTGAGCATCAAAGACTCTGGCGTGGCCGTGAGCAGGAGGAACAGTGAGCTGTGGAACACTTCCTGAGTGTTCAGATTGCTCTGCTGGCTGGAGCATGACAGACAGTCGGAGATGGAGCCAAAAACATCTTCTGTCATTATCTACTATAGTCGGGCCGTTGTCTTTTCAGCAGATAAAACATTTTTCAAAGGTTGTTTTTGTCCCATTCGAATTGAGGTGACGACTCATGTTACGTCTGGCTCCTGTAGTGCTCTAGTCAGGCAATTTGAGAAATTTAAATTTAAAAGAGATTTAAATATTTTAACTAATTTTAATGCATGGGCAGAATGATGTGGACTGGATTTCATATAAGTCCAGTTTTTACACTTATAGTGTTATGAACTGGATTTCATATAAGTCCAGTTTTTAGTTTTTACACTTATAGTGTTATGGCTGGGATCAGTAATGTCAATCCACCCCCCCACCTCCCCGCCCCCCGTCTCCCTCTCTCTCTCTCTCTCTCACTTTCTGTCTATCAAGCATTCAATCAATCAACAGTAAAAATACGATACATAAAAGAAACTACATCTGAAAATACTTCATGCCAACCTTAACTTGCGTGCAGACTGGCAGGTGGATTTGACCTTTGAACTCACAGATCCTCCTGCCCAGGACTGTTTTCACCTTCATATGGATGAGGTCACTTTGTACTGAAGTTCTTCATCCAGAACTTTTGTATTTCACACCACATCGCTGCAGCTGGGAGACAGACATTATTTGATTTTAACACGCTGTGCTTTAGAGAGTAAAAAAACATGAAAATCCTCCTCCTGTTCCGGCCTCATCTCTGGAGATTGTGAAAAACTAAAAATATTTACTGACAACATCTGGAAGTAAAAAAAAACTTCACGCTGTAGTGTTAAAAATATTTACTGACAACATCTGGAAATAAAAAAAAACTTCACGCTGTAGTGAGAGGTGTTGCCGGGTTCTTATGAATGGTGATAGATAAATAACTTCATACTTGTATTTTTATGCTTTTCTACTGGGACCAAATGCATCAATGATGAATCAGAGTTTGATTTTTATTAACGAGCTTCTGCTTGTTCCGTTGTTGGAATGCACTATGTGCAATTCTCAGTTTTTGAACTGCTGATTCTTTCTTATGTACGACCAACTTTTTCATCCTTCTGGGCCTCAGTGCTTTCATCTATCTGACACTCAGTCGATGCCTCAGAGCGAAGGCTTAATGCAGTGTAATAGTTGTTCATTATTGTTCAGGCCGGTTGACACAAACATGTCTGTGCAGAGTTTGCAGCTGTCGAACACAAAGAGGCAGCAGGAAGCAACAGGTACGACCAGCGCTTTGACTGACGAGGAAATTGCCAGAAGGTCACATTTCAAAAAGTACCAGCATTTAATCCCTCTTTGTGTGTGTGTGTGTGTGCGCATGTGTGTGTGTCTGCCTGTGCATGCTCCAGCCTGAGGAAAAGCATTAACTAGACTTTTAGTCACCGTTCATCCCTGTTGTTCATACAAGGAGTTCTAATTGCATTTAATGCACAGTTTAATGACTGCGTTCAAACATGAAATGTGAGGACATGCAACAGTTATGGATTTAACCTAACAAGAAAAAAGTTCAGGTTTAATATCCTGCTGCCAGAGCGTGGGAGCCAAAGCTGGTCGGGTTG